ACGAAAAATATTTACTTACGGATTTTCCGTCGGAAATCCGTCGAACAATCCGCCAGATTTTTCTTGATAAAACTTATATCTAATTATTTATCAACGGATTTTCCATCAGAAATCCGTCGAAAAATGTAGTTGGTACAGGGAAAAAAAACTAAAAAAACCTCCTAATCTAAAATCCTAAAATATAAAAATCCTGTAAATTAAATACAAATATATAAGACACAAATATGTCATAAATACCTAATATGATTATTCGGACGAAATAATAAACATATATAAATTTGATTGATGACGGAAACTGTTGAGATTGTGTAAACTTTTTCATCATATCCATTATGTCTGCATGCTCTTTCTTCCGGATCTCATCTTCCCTATTTCGGATCTCTTCTCGGTGGAGAAGTTCATCAACTTACTTCTGTAGGATCTCATCTCGAGTGCGCATTTCTTAAATTTGGGGCTGTAAGTTATTAATTAACTACAAATACAATAAAACGTTAAAATTTCCAATAAGAAGTATAAATGAAATAAATAAACATCAAAGAATAAAGAGGCACACACCTGACTATCTACATTAGACAATCCACCCGAGTTTGCTTGTGAAGATGTCTCGGTCAAGACCAAATTGGATCTTCATTGTACCCGACCCCATATAGACGGCCTTTCTTGGATCCCCCAACCGCCTCATTCCACAAGTCAGTATCAATTAGGGGATAGGCCAAGGGATCCTCACCGTCCTTTTCGATGAGATTGTTTGAATAGGTACCCTGTGGTTCAAAAAATAATACCAGTCAATTTCGACAGTGTAACGACTGTAAATGGAATGTTTCCAACTAAAACAATCCTAACGTTTGCCCAACAAATGGCAACTCAAACTAAATATATATATATATATATATATATATATATTAATATTCTAACTTAAACAATCATAATGTTTGTCCAACAAATGACAACCCAAACTAGATATAAATAAATATCACACACACATACACTAAGACCCATTAGCTCCATTAAAGCCTAGTTGAACCGAATAATATTCGTTAAAGTCCACTAAGATCCATTAAAGACCAAATAATACTCGTTAAAGCCCAATAGATTCATTAAAGTCCACTAAGATCCATTAAATTCAATAATACCTGTAAAAACCCATTAGTACCAATAGTTAATGTCGAATTAAACCGAATAAGACCTAATAGCTCCATTAAAGCCTATTTAAATCGAGTAAAATCCACTAAAACCCAATAATACCTGTAAAGTCCACTAAAATATATTTTTTCAATGGAAAAATAAAAAAACATTTTCAAATAAATATATATTTTTGAACATTTTCAAACATAAAAAACATTTTCAATAAATATATATTTTTGGAAGGAAAAAAAAACTTTTTCTTAAACATTACCAATGGATTTCCCACGAAATTTAATTTTTTAATTAAATTTTGTCGGAAATCCGTCGGTAATGTTTAAAAAAAAGAATTTTTTTTTAAATTCTTCTAAAACTATTTATTTAAAACAAAATAACAATAGGAGTTAAAAATTTCCAGCGGATTTTTGACAAATAATAATTTTTATGATAAAAACTTCACTAAAATGTATTTTTTTTCCAAAGGAAAAAACATTTTCAAATAAATTCCGACGGATTTCTGACGAAATATAATTTTTTATTAAAAAAATTAAATTCCGTAGGTAATGTTCAAAAAAAAAAGTTTTTATTCTTATTTTTTTCCTTTCAAAAATATATATTTAAAAAAGGTTCAAGATTTCCGATGGATAATAATTTTTATAATAAAAAATTATATTCCGTCGGAAATCTTTTTTTAAATATATTTTTTTGGAAGGGAAAAGATTAAAGAAAAAGTTTTCTTAAACATTTCTGACGGATTTCCAACGAAGTCGTCAGAAATGTGTTAATTAACTAACGCTAATTTATTTATCTAATTAAGTTAGATCAATTTTGTGATGGATTTGTGACGATATTAAATAAGTAAAATATCCATCACAAATCTGTCGAAAAACCGTCGGGAAAGTTGTAGAAATAAAATTTTATTTTTTTAAAAAAATTGGTGATAGATTTGTGGGGGATTTGTGGTGGACGTCGACAAAAGTTGACTTTTATTGACTTTTTTGGGATCCGTCGGAAATCCGTCATTGATATTTTCGACGAAATATCCGCCAAAAAATTCCGTCGGTGATACCCATTATTTTAGTAGTGATGGAGCTTTCATCTTGATACTACAATTATCATATTTGTCGGTTTTTAGTACGGAACTTAAAACGATGCCTAAATGTTGGTCATACTTTTGGTTGACTTTCTTGAATCACCGTTTAGTATGATGAAGAGAAATTTTTTCCTGATGTGGAAGATAGTCTAAGTTGCAACCGCATAACATAATAAGAGATCTCTAAACCAATAGCCTCACGATAGCTCTGATACCACTTGTTGGAGAGAAAAATTTAAAACATAAAGAAACAATTTTTCTCCTAATTCACTTGATGATTACAATTTTTCTCCTAATTCTCCATATCTTGTGGTTGGGCTTGGACTTATCAAGGTTTATACCTGGCCTCTTATGTCGGGCAAAAACAAGTTTATAGAAAAATCAAGCATGCTACTACATTTTCTCCATGAAACCAGCAGCTACTAGATTAACAATTACTCGAACAAGCAAACAGAAACTAACCAACCCTAAGTAATTGATAATGTAAATGACATAGCTACCCTTTGTCTAATAACTTGTAATACTGCTGCGTCGTACGTATCCGGTGGCGTTTCAGGTACGGTTTGCTATTTCATTTGGCCTGGTCTAGTTAACAGTCTCTGTATCTGCAAACATTTAATGGCTTCACTTTTGCCAGAGAAGTCTTTTTTTATTCATTTGATGTAAGTCATGACTTGGTATTATTGTGTCAATAGTAAACAAAGTAATGTCAACTCTACAAATCTGCGGAGAAGTCTTTTTTTATTCATTATGTGTAAACATAGCACGAAAGCTTCTCAAGTGTGTAATGCAAGATCTTTCCTATCTGCTTCTCTAGAAAATTGAATAACAACAACATATTATCAATATCAATATCAATCATATATCAATGCTACTTGTTGTTGCCGCTTTATGTTAATTGCAAAAGTTATTATACGTGATTATCATAAGTTTATATTTACTCATCTTTGATTTTATCCTTAAATCCAAAATTTTATAGCTTTCTTACACTTGCCTAAAGTGTAAACACACACGGTTCTTTATATTACTTCTAAAAGATGGTACTATATATGCTCATTAATCTTGAGGTGGCTCGCAACTAACATCGAAATTCATCAACCACCCTTTTAACTCTTTCACTTAGATTTCGCTTGGTTTGTAGGATTGTTTTTTAGGGGTTTGGATTTCATGGAAGGATTTAGATCGGAATGGATTTAAAATCATTGGTGTATTTGGTTTATAGGATTTTGAATGAAATTGGATTCCATTATTTATAAAAAAATTAAATTACATTTTTATTAATCGATTATTAAAAAAAATTAACATTTTCTAAAACCTTATTGCATACAATCATACGAAATCTCGTGAAATCGCAAGCACCCCTAAACCTTATTCCAACAAAATCAAACATGAGATTGGAATGAATTTGAAATCCAAATCCCCCAAATCCATTTCATTCTTGCAAACCAAAGGGGACCTTAGGATATTTGTCTATCAAGATGACAAAACTTTCATCATTTGAGTGTGGTTTTCAGATACTTCAAGAATTAAACTAGATTAATATGAACACACACAGCTGGTTTGAGTTCATACTCTACCTAATTATTTGTTTAAACTACTTATTAATTTCTTATCGACTATACCATCAATTGATTATACATCATGTGTGTAATGCAAGATCTTTCGTATCCACTGCTCAAATTAAATAAACAATGGTTTTATATATTACAATGAAAACTTTTCTCCTACGTTAAGAGCATATTATATACTAAACTACAAATATATTTGTTTAGTTCAGTGACATTAGGTTTCTTGCACTGCTAGTGTAAATAGTCCATTTTTTGTAACATTTGGTCCTTGATCGTTGAAATTAACGAGAATCCATATTAATGTATCATGAACGCTGAATATCGGTTCAAGCTACGACCATTTTTGTACATTTATTCTCTTCTTTTATATCTATGATCTTCGTCTTCGTCTTCTCTTTATTTTCTATAATTAAATTAAAAAACAACTTCAACCATAATAAATGAAAAAACATCAAGTCGTTGGGTGTCTCATCTTCAACTTCTTGCATTTACTCAAGAGTACCAACAATACATACCAACCAGGAAAAATTATTGGGGTTTTGAAGGTTTAATTTGTTGACTTCTGAGATGGAGTTTGTTTCATGAAGTTTTATCTACAAATTATTAAAAAAATAAATCATTAAGTAATTAAGATGAATAATAATTGAGAGATTGAAGAAGAAGATTAGAAATTGACTAAAAAAGCCATATGGAATACGCATGGTAATACATAACAAAAAAGAGATTATTATTATTTTCTAGGGAGCAAAACACTGAAATTATTTTTTTACCAATAATGCAAAAAAGAGAATCCAGAGAGTTAAAATTGCAAATCTAAATGGTCGAGTTAGAAAATGGATTAGATTTGGATCAAAATTAAATTTGGTTTTACTTTTCATGTTCCATTTTGGGGTGGGGTAATTGTAAGGGGGCAATCTGAAACATAGTATATAAGCTTGCTAAAGGTGAACCAACCTTCATCCTGGGCTTCTTAGTTCTTCCACCCAAGGTTTTTACTAACATAAACTTTGCTAACTTTACTATTTGGTTTTGCAAACCTTTTGATGTCTAACATGTTCTATTATGACCAATTCCTGTAGATATGTCTGAGGAGTCTACAGTAAGCAACTAGGCACGCAAGCTGCAGGATCTATAATGGCAACAGAAGATGATGAATATGGATGGGAGGTTCACGAGTCCATCAGAATATTGGTAGAAGGTGAATCAGGAAGACCGAACCATCCCAAGCAATCTAATGTCACCATTTGTATGGTACCTGAGTCACTTCGAAATCTCAACCCAACGGCTTATACACCACGAATCACCTCAATAGGTCCACTACACAAAAAGGACAAACGTCTAAAAGCAATCGACGAGCACAAAGTCACTTACATGTATCGACTATTTTGTCGAACTGTGGAATCCACGAAGAAGGAGATGGAGCAAACAACTCATAAATGTGTACAAGCGGTTCTTGGGCTTGTAACACGTGCAAGAGCTTGCTATGCACCAAATCTCACAAACTATGATGATTTCAAGTTGGCTGAAATGATGGTTATTGATGGTTGTTTCATACTTGAACTTTTCTACAGGTTCCAATTTGGAATTGCAGAGGGAGATCCAATTTTTGACAACATTCTGACGTTACATGACGTTAGATATGACTTGCTGCTACTAGAGAATCAAATACCTCTATTTATCCTTGAAATATTGTTCCGTCTCACAGTGAAACGAATCTTGAAGTCTACTTCATTAACGGGCCTTATCGTGTATTTCTTCAAGGATATGAATATCTTAAACAACGTGGAACTTCCCACAATGGATGAAAATGTAGAGCACTGTCATATCCTTGGGCTTCTACAAAGCTGCTACAGGCCTAGAGCTACAAAGAGGGGCCAGATGCCAAACATGTCATATTCTGCCACAGAAATCGCTGGAGCGGGAGTCACGATCAAGGCACACAGTGATCAAAATTGTCTGCTTGCAGTGATATTTAAACAATCACCTCTTGTTCCTGGTTTGGGTAATAGACTTGTTAGAGAAACCAGTTTCAAGATTCCGGTATTGTGCATCAAGGACTCAACTCCATCGTTCTTGAGAAATCTCATCGCCTATGAACAGTGCTACCCGTTAAGTCGTCATTATGTTACATCTTTCGCCTTTCTCATGGACAGGCTTATTGACACTAAAGATGATGTTTCATTGCTTGTAAGGTCAAAAGTCCTCCAACACAATCTGGGAGCGTGCGAAGATGTCACAAATATCTTCAACAATATTTGTAATGGTGTCGTTCTTAGGGATTTTTATTATTGGGACGAATGGAGACAGTTGGATGACTACTGCACCCGTTTCTGGCCTAGCATATTAATTTCACTGAGACGCCTTTATATAAGTACAACCTGGAAAACGTTGACAGTCATTGCTGCTGTGATCCTCTTTGGCCTAACATTAATCCAGACCATTTATACTGTTGGAAATGCTTGAGATCTTGGAGTCTGAATTAATTTGGCAGAAGGTGTTGAATATTGTTATATTGATTTGCTTCCTGATGTTACATGTTTCCTGTTTTCTGTTCTGATTGTAACAGGTGATTGTCAAGATTTCATCCTTTCTTTCTTTATCTGAATCAGTGTGTCAATAAAAGCAAAGCAATTTCGTCCTCAGTTTTCTTTTGTTGTTCCTACTGCAATCCACGTACTTAATTCTATTCCAAAATTAACATTGTGGTATCAGATCATAATTGGATGGGAACTAGGTGTACAACAATGGCCAGGAATGCTGTGAAGGTTACTCGACCTCATTTCTTGTATTTGAGGGAGGATGCTGAGTTTTAGAGCATCAAATTAAATGAAGACTTTGGTTAGGTTTTAGGACATGCTGATAAATAATTCAGGTTCAGAAAGATCAAGATATATAAATTCCAAAACATATCTTTTCATTCAACAAGCAGTTCAAGAAACATTTATTTACGAAAATTCTAGCAGCATCTGAAGCTAAGGAAATATGGACAATTTTACATATGCCTTTCCAAGATACCTCGATGGTAATCATGGTGATACTTTAATCTTCTATCTGGAGTTGTTGCCGTTGTGAATCAAATGAGGTCCTATGGAGAAGAAGTTTTTGATCATCTCCTACTGCAAACGGTATATGGAGTCTTGACTCCTAAGTTTTATCATGTATTCCAAAGGTTATATAGTGTCTTGACCACATACTCCTTTGATGAGTTAATGGGATATGTACAATCTCATGAGGCTAGAGAGAACACACAAAGATTAGAAGAATGAAGAAAATTCCCTTCAGGCAATTAAAGAGCGATGCATTTGTCCAATCAAGGGGCATATGGTAGAGGACTATGGGCAGAGAAGGATCCTTTGGACGAGATGGTCATCGAAGAGGACAAAGATGAGGTGATGCACAAGAAAATCAAAATGCAACGACATGGAAATGTTGGGGAAATTTCCAATATAATATAGAAGTTTTATTTGTTTTGGGTTGAGTCTTAGGAAAAGGGAAACTTGAATTTTAATGGTTTTGCTTTGTCCTACATAGGACCAAAATGAAACCTAATGTAGGTATATAAGTGACAGTTTTGACATTTGTGGCAAAAAGTTAACTTTTGGTGACAGTTTCAAAAGGTGTCACAAAAGAAAAAGGAATTCCTTACCTCTGGTGATAGTTCGGACAGATGTCACAAAAGAAAAACTCAGCCCTTCAAAAGGTCACTTTTGGTGACGTCGGGACAAGTGTCGCAAATGGTGACTGTTTGAAGAGCCACCAACTTTTATGACAGGTGTAAGTGTCACTAAACCCCTGTATATACAACACCTTTTTGTCGTGAAAATACGTAAAAGTTCTCACTTTTCTCTCATACCATATTAGCCTAAAGTGTGTTGCTATAGAAACACATTTTTTGGGCTTCTTAAATACGTGAAATCTCAGTAATCCCTCTAGGACTATCAACAGCCCTGTATTATTGGTAATATATCCACACAAGATGTTTTATTTTATCTTGAGAAGTGATGCGCCAATAACCCGAAGTACATACGATAGGTGTGAAATTCCTAGGTTAGAGAGTTGATTCGCCTTAAAAGCAATAAGTAGTAGCTTTTTCTTATTGATTATAATTTTTATTTTAGTACCCCAAAAACACCAATCTTATGAATATTGTTTTAATTTATGAACAGTTTAAAAAAATTGTTATAACTTGTGAAAACACTTTAAATCTATGAGATTTGATATAACTTGTAAATATATTGTGAACAATATTGAAGCAACAAACTAAACCTAATTAAACCTACAACTTGTGAACACTCTGGTACGAAACTTCTTAAGAGTTTTTTTATTGTGTTTAAAATGTATTCAACTTATATAGATATTTAATCGTGAACGTGTGTGTATATTGTGCGTGAGAGGAGATGAGAGAAAGAAAGATATTTATGAAATTTGAATTTTTCCTAAAGAATACATTAATTATCTTAAATTAGTGACTTAATTGATCTCATAGTTCTCATAAATTATACAGTTCTTAAGTGATTAAGCCCGATAAGTATACTAACTTATAATACATTTACATCATAACTCTTAAATTCAAGTTACAAAGCATAAGGTACTACTCCTTAAAGCATGTTTTAAAAACTATGAATTACAAGCTATGATGCATATATATTGTACATATTATTGATGCATATCTTTGTATTCTTCAGATTTCAAATTTAGGATTCGTATGTCACATACAAAGATCAAGTTCATGCTTCCAAAGTATGTTGAAGCTCTCTGACATTAATTTTCTTTTGCGGTTCAACCCAATCTTTTGGTACGCCACTCAAATCTCTAATCCAAATTCAAATTCTCAAAAAACTCAAAGCCAACACAAGCGGCGATTAACGCTCTCCAGCTGGTGGCTTCTTCATCAGCATAGTCCAAAACCCAAGCAACAAGTCTCCAAATGAAAGATTATTATTAAGAATGGTCGAAATGATGCAAAACATTAATTGGGGAAATGTTTAATATGCGTTGACTTCTCAACTGTTCACAACATTCCAGCACCAACAGGTTTGTCAATCTTAATTTTACTTCTTTTAGCCGTTTATTTTCATATGATTCATGAATGTGAGCTTAGGTTTGTGGATAAGGTGGGGGTTTGCTGACTATTGTATTTCATTGTATGGGTGCAAGATATGTTGAAACTAATTCCTAAACCAAGAGAGATACCAGGTCTAGAGACCTCAAAAAGTCCAAGGTATCTATATATAGAGAGGGATTGTCGGAAAATCCTCTATCTCTATAGTGCTCCTGCTTTTTCTGATTCTTGCATTTGTTTCAAGCTCTTAATTATTCCATTAAGTTGTGCCTGCAATTAATACACATAATTAGTAAAAGAAAAACATCATATGATATGATAAAGCTATAACAACAGTCATAGTGTCAACCACAACTATTCTGAGCATATAATGGCAATCAAAATGCCAACCAAAAACCTATTTTAAACAAATAATGACTGTTACAATGCCAACCATGATATTGTTTTTAGCATATAATAGTAGCCACAATGCCAATAGCAATACTATTTTATGCAAATAATAATGGTTGTAACAATCTAATTAAAAAGGCTTATCATTGGAAAAACCACTTATGGTGAGTCAGCTGTCTCGCTCCCGGACGTCCCATCAGATAGAATAAATTCATCATTATTACCCTTATCCAAATCGTCATTTGTATCTTCAAACTCTTCTTCTTCATCACTAACCCCTAATATTTGTATTGTCACAGATGTCGATGAATTGTCCCGGTGTGACAAGACAATCACGCTCAATATCCTCATTTATACCGACAGATTTTGTACGGTGCAACATTTCASTCTCCTGAAATAAATGTTTTTCATCCACATYAYCATCATCARCTACTTCAGTAGCACCTTCTGCTACTTCATAAATCCTACTTGGCTCCATGTTGACAACAGTCCACCAGTCCTTCAAATTATCTGTCATCGAAGGATAAGGTGCATAATGCACTTGTGTAGCTTGTGATGCWAGAATGTACGSGCARTCRTTTTCTGTTGCTAGCCTCGACTTGTATTGGAGATCAACCAACTTATGTTCATGGACAATATCTCCTGAAATCTCGATATATGATGAAAAAAATAAGAGAAGTTCAAACTACAACATTAACAGATTGAGATATATGATATAATTATAATCCGAGGAGAGATAATCAGCTACTAGTAGAACTCTAGAAGTGAAACTTTGACTCGGGTAACTTGAAGTTATTTGCATCTTTCAGCATGAAATTTTGATACAGGAACATACAAGAAGTCTCTATTTGGAGCTTCTTATATATATATATATATATATATATATATATATACTAGTGGTGTATCCGTGCGATAATATAATATCTATGCATACACACACACATAAGATGAATAGGAAAGAGCATTATGTTTCTCTATGTGTGTGTATAAGATGAAATGGAAACAGATGTTTCTGTTTCTGTGTGTGTGCATAACTCCAAACTGAAACAGACCCAAAAACAGCAGCTAACCATAAGGCCATCACCATTCTATGTGTGTGCAATAACTCCATAGGCATGTTCATGTGGTTTAAATCAAAATAGGCATGTAAACAGGTTATACTTAAGCATAATGTAAAAAAGGCAACCATGAAGTATGTAAGCAAGATTTAAACAGTATTATTTAACAGCTGATGTATCTAAACACACATATAAGGAGCAGTTTGCTGTTTTGAACAAGTCAAATGTTTTAAAAATATGAACATGTAACAGCTGCTGTAAATATGGACTTATGTGTCTGTGTGATAGTGAGGAATCATACATATATATGCCTCAAATAGAGTGTGTATATATATACACACACACATACACATCAAATAAGTACTCTACATATATATACAAACACATACATAAATGAAGATGAGTTTTATGAAAAAAGTTTCCTCAGGTATGCAGGTTTTCTCATTGAACAATAATTATGTGTCTATGTGTCTGTGTGAGGGATCATACATATATATGCCTCAAAGAGAGTGTATATATTTATAGATATATATAATGTCAAGACACCTGGTGGAAAAACAGAGCTTCTTTAACCCAAATATCACCAATGCAATGTTTGAATGTCACTACCAAAAATCTCACCAATATGCAAAACCAATGAAGAATAATCAGTCTTTTTAATCTAAGATCAAACGAAACAATTAAACAAGAAAATCACCTCGATCATAAACACATGTAATTTTTGAAAAATTTCCTAAGATAAGCATCTCACATGTTGACTCGATGCTCATCATCTATGTTCTCCTTGAAGTCTATGGTTGTTTTCTCATTCAAGTGTTATGCGACACACAATATCGCACATATATGGAAGTCGCATTTGGAACTATAGCAGATCATTTAGATAAGAATCTGTAGAGATCAATCAAAGCTTCACCAGGAGAATCATGAACAACAACAGTTAAGTTGAGATTGCAGGAACACAAAATCAAGACCCACGCTTGACAGAAAGGTTTCATCTATGGAAAATTTATTGAGCCGAAACCAAACCA